AGTTTGGAGGATGGAACGCTTGCATAAGAGAACTGCAGCGTTCCTGATGAGCTGGGAGGTCTGACCATGCACTTCTTGTGCCACGATCGAGAAAAAGCGAGAGGAATACATCAATCAGAGAGCAGGGCAAATAAAAGTCTTTCGCACCTTGTGCACGACCGGGCAAGACACACCGTTGATGGCGTGAGGGAAACTACTTGGCCAACAATTGAGCAGTGGCTGGATAACGCTGGTGCTAGAGGCAGCAGGGAGATGCGCAGCGTTGGAAATTTGCCACGGTGCAAAGTCAAGGCAATTTGATGAGATGCTAAAATCAACAACTTGATGTGCTGAGCTTCTCTGGCCAGCCTTTGAAGGGGCGCCTCAATGGCAATCTCCTTGGTGTTGCCTGTTGCTGTCAACGTCAGCACAAGAAGACACGCGTGTCCTCTAGGAGGCATGATTGCCTCCACCTTGCGGATTTCCAATGGCACCAGCCACATACCAAGAGGAAGGCAAATCAAGTCGGCATCCTCTGGACTATTGCGTGCAGCATGATTGCTTGCAATCACAAACAGACATCGAGGTGCTCAATTGCCGCCAGCAGTGTTGGCAAGCCGGTAAGGTTTGCAAATCTTGAGGACAAGGCCTTCGAGAATGTGCAGCTCCTCTGAACTCCACAGCGGCGACATATCCTTGACAGAGATCAAGACAAGGAGGTCTCAAATGCTGGCCTTGCCAGTCTGCAAGAGCCTGCCGAGCAAGCTTGGTGCTTGCCTCTTGTCCTGAGCCTGTGGGAGGCAGAGAGTGTGAGAGCTGGAGTTGTGCGCGCCCGCATGTGCGTGCGTGCGTGCTCACAATCTGCAGGTTGTTGTGGGCCCAAGTCTCTGCTGTGCTGCTGGTGGTCAGGCCAACATGAAAGAGGTGGTGCAGGCTTGCACCCCCATGCTGAGCATTGTCATCCTCCAGCACCAAGAAGCGGCCGTGAGCAGTGGAGCAGGGGTATAAAGACTTGGATTGGTGGACAAAGTTGAGGAGTTGCTTTAAAGAAAAGGCTCCAAGGTACCGCGCATACAGACAAAAGGAGGTGGTCCGCACATCCTTGGATGTGTGCGGGAAGAGTGTACTTAGAAGAGCAAGGGGTGGTGAAGAGGAGGAGGAGGGTGGAATTGGCTTTGTAAATGCCTTTTGAACATTGCTTGCCCATTTGGCAAAGTCGGCAATGTCCAGGCACTCTATCAGGTCATCAAGACGCGCAAGGGCGGGGTCGTGCTGGCGCGTGTTGAAAGCATCCCCGGAATTGCCAAAGGCACGAATGGCAAGGTCTTGGATTGAGGGCAGGGGGTACCTAGCAGGGAGTATGCTCAACATGGCGTCGGGGCGTGCAAAGCGGGGCAGGGCAAGGGGCAGAGTGGGGCGTGCAGAGCGGGGCAGAGCGAGGGACGACTCCGGGGCGGACAAGCAGCAAGTGCGATGGTACCTGGTTTGACAGAGTGCTTACCAATGGGATGTTGTCTGTGAGCACTCCTTGGGCATGGAGAGGGTCTGGACCCAGAGGAAAGTGGGGCAGCAAGTAGACGTTGGGCAGCATGTCCAGGTTGTCCGCTCTGGAGAGGTTGCGAGCAATGGAGCAAAAAGTTGGGTGCAGCTCAAGATGCACAGAGGGGTCAATCCTGTGGATGAGCTTGAGCGTGCGCCAATGGCATTGCTCTCCAATTGTGCATAGACAGACCCTGTCTCCACCTGCTGCCACTGCTGCTTGAAGTTCTCTGGGCCTAGCATAGTCAGGATTCAGGACCTGGACTTGAAGGCTCGAGAAGTTTTCCAGACAACCCTTGAGCTCTGCTGCCTGCTGAGGGTTTGTGACGTTGGCCAGCAGGATGAGAGAGACAGGGCTGATGTGCAGCACAGGGGGCAAGGTGATGCTGTTAAAGTTGAAGCTTGTCATTGCCTCCTCATTGTTCCAGGCCCTGTTGCCACATGTAGAAGACCAGCCTGCTCCTTAAATTATTGGCAAGCAGGTACTTGCCACATGCCTGGATGCAGAACCCTTTGACAGTGACCAAGTTGTGAGAGGCTGCATTGGGTATGTGGTAAAGCACATATATGGCCATTGGCTGCCAATCCATGTGCTGGTATACAAACTTTGACAAGGAGGGGGGAGGGTCTGAGAGTCTTTGTGGCGCTTGTTGTTGAGCTGTTGCAGCTGAGACTGAGAAGGAGGGAGAGGGTCTGAGAGTCCTTGTTGCCCTTGTGATTGAGCTTTTGCAGCTGAGACACAGCAGCGTCATGCTCACTCTCAGCGGCCACCAGCAGGTAGGCAGCTTCTGAGCCAATGACCATGCTCATGTCCTGTGCAAGGTGATTAATCAGCTTGTCCACCTTATTCTTGAGATTGAAAGCTGCTTTGAGAGCCTTGGCCTGATGATAGACCTTCTCTGCTGGCACCAGGGCATCCCATTTGTCTTGCACAAGCTTTGAGTGAAAGCGGACATCACAGCATTGCAACAAGTAGATGCAAGTAGCGTTTGATATGGTATGGTCACTCACGTTCACTTTATATACTGACTGCCATGCGTGCTTGCAGTCCCTGCGCTGGCATACAAACTTAAACAGAAGGAGAGGCAGGTCCGAGTTGTTGTTGACCTCAAGGAAATCAGATGGGGCTGGCAGTGAGCGGTGCACTATTAGCCTCAAGGCATGTGTGCCCCCTAGTCTGCCTGTGCTTGCTTCACTCACCGCTTTGATGTCTGCTGCTGCTTGCAACAATGCACAGTTTGAGACTCTGCCAAATGTAGGCAAGCAGCTGGGGGGATTTTCTGTCCTGCACAGGCACAAGGGTATCTTAGCATTGCGGATGAGCTGTTCGTGCAACGAAGTCTCAAGGAGCTCTCAACTTCCTACGCCGTGTCCAGTTCTCGCCATGAGATTTCGCAATGTCAGGATAACCTGACCAAGAAGAAAAATACAAAGCAAATTGGAAAGCCAGCCTTGCCAACAAATCTTTGCCATGATGCGTCATCGACGTGACGGAGCTGCATATGCCGTAACGTGTCGCTGTTGCTGCCCAGCACATTGAGGAAACGGATGTAGTCACTTTCCACACGGAGCTTTTTTGCCGGTGGAGCTCATGTCAGCTTGCCAAGTGGCCAGCGCACCTGCGATAGAGCGCGGAAGCACGATGCGTGCGAAATGGATCGCTTAGCTTGGCCCTCCAAGAGAATTATCCTTCTCGCGCGTCCTATGGCCTCACTTTGCCCTGCGACAGAGAGCAGCAAGTACGCTGACGCTGACGCTGACGCTGATGCTAACGCTGACGCTGACGTTCACGTTACCAGGCTGCTGGTCATACAGACGCGTTTCGAAATGGATTGAGTCTGAATGCCTTGGAATGTTTCCATCGGTGCATGCCGTGCTAACATTCTGCAAGCGGCATTCATTTTGCACGCTTAGAGCGTAGCACTGCCCACAGAATGGCTTCAATGATATGCGCGGGCGGACCCGTCTCGCTGATGAAAGGCACAGCTTCACGCGCGGTCGTTGGTGATTCTCGAAGCGTCATTTCCGACCCGACGAGACGCGGGCACAAAAGGTCGATTCTGAGCATCGCGCGCTGCATTCGAAGGCCCCAACAGATGCGAGACGAGCACGTCACAATCACAATGACGTCTCTCATTACAGCAAAGAATCGCGCGGTACCTCTACACCTTCTGGAATGCCGTCCAGACGATCCTCTCCGACGGCCCAGACACTGCGATTTGAGAGCGCGGACATGTCAGCTCGCGTTGCATCGCTCCGCACCATCACGTCCCTCTCATCCGCTCACCCATCTACGCCCAGATCAAAGTTGAACGTTTGACCTCGCTGAGATCCGCGTGCAGGTGCTGCAGCATCTTGGCTGCCGATTCGAGGCGCGCGCAAAGCGCTGGGAGCAGCAGCAGGAGCCGTGTCCTTGTCCACCTGCTGAGCTGCTTCTTCCGGCCGACCTGCTTGACCTTTGCGAGGCTCCGAAGTGTAGCCGGGAGTTGAAAGGGTTGCAGAGATGCCAATGGTGCGGACCTTCTCTCGCATCATTTCCATCTGGGAGGATGCGACTGTGCCCGCGTTGAGCAGGACAAAGTCGGCAAAGGGGATCTGCGAGCGCGAGTGAAGAGCGTGAAGGTGAGCGCGTGCGCGTGCAAGAGCGTGTGAGTGTGCGCTCGCACCCGCGCCAGAGCATCGCTTGCCCTTCCCCGACTCACCACTACGTCCTGCCATTCGCTGCCCTTTGAGTGATCGAGCCAGAGACGATGTTGAAAGAGGTCGCTGGTGACGGGACCATCGGTTTGAATATTGACGAAATACTTTGGGCCTGGCGTATCTGAGGAGCCGAGACCGGAGCCGATGGCGTGAAGGGCACGCAGATCGAGCTGCTGCTCATCGTGATGGCGCGTGGCAGCCTTGACTCGAGCTTGGGCAGTGTGCAGTGCTGATGCCAGCGAGGGCGTATCGGATGGCGAGTGGGGGGATGCCAGCCTGTTGCGCACGCGCAAGAGAAGGTAAGGATGCAGCGTAGTGTCCCACGTCTGATTGCCAAAGATCGTCGGTCGATTCTGCAAAGACGGCGTTGAGCATGAGCTACGAGTGCA